CAAAGAGCAAATCATGAGGAATACCCTCGGCTCATAAAGCATATACAGTGAGGTCTACCCTCGCTTCACACAATAAAGTCTGAGGACTACCCTCGGTTCATAAATTCACTATATAGCAACTAGATAGAGCACTTCAATTAGTGGCTCATATAAAGTCACGCTATATCTATTCAATGGAGCACTTCTTTCCACAATGAGAGCAATTAAGTCCCTATTGCATATGAATTACACTACCTTGGTTGTACCAATTAAGTCACATAGCAATAGCCTTACACTACCTTGCCTCTTTGGAATGAACTATCTGCTCCGCACAAGTGAGTCTAGTGATGAAAGTTTACACATATAAAAAAAAATCAAGACAAGTAAGCCTTTAACACCGCGAGATTCACTTACTAAATAATCATAATCCCACCGCTGCCACCAATGTGACGGAACGTGGCGTCTGGGCCGAGCGGAAACCCGAGTGTCACTTTAAAACCCTCACGTGGTATGAGAGCCGGCGGGGAACGTCTGTTGGTGAAAGGATTTTGTTGTGTTGATTTTTATTATGTCGTTATGCCACTGATATAACATGCATAAAATAACAGAATGACAAGGGAAATACACAATGAATAACTTTAATAAATGTGAAATGAATGAGTCAATTTAGAGGAATGTGTAAATGGAACTAATTCTGATAAAGATTCTGGCCAATATCTATTTATACACTCTAGCTCCTTTGGTGATGGCTCATGAGCAAAATGAACTGAGCAATCGGTACATTTGGCTCCACTCAATTTCGGCTCTGTAAAGCTCAAAAAGGCTCCGTGCACAAAAAGAGCCAACAACAGGCTCCGGAGCAAAGTGCAATGCTCCTTATCAACGACTCAACATAAAGCAGAAGCAACTCAATGGGCTCCGGAGCAAAATGTTATGCTCTCAATAATCAGTGAGTCTCTACACAAAGCATAAAGTTTCAATAGGCTCCGGAGGAAAATGCAAGACTCCGAATAAATAGCTGAACAAGTGGGAGCAACTCAACGGGCTCCAGAGCAAAGTTCAATGCTCCCAAATCAGTAGCTAAACAAGCGTGTTAGCAAAACAGGAGCTTTGAGAGCAATTAAGTACCTATTGCATATGAATTACTACTACCTTGGTTATACCAATTAAGTCACATATCAATAGTCTTACACTACCTTGCCTCTTTGGAATAAACTCTTTGCTCCACACAAGTGAAATCGGCTCCGGAGCAAAACGTAAGGAGCAGTTTTGGTAAGAGCAATTTGTTACAGATATGGCCAATCTGGTTGTGAATGAAATTGAAATAATTGACAAGTTGACAGAAATACTGAGAATAAAAGATAAGAAAATAATGGATGTGTGAACTGTTAAAGTGATAGAACTACGGGGAATAAAGGATTAGAAATAACGAATGGCAGGTGGAACGTTTCACAAAGAATGGAATGTAAAAGATGGAATGAAGGAAAGGATATGAATTTGAACTTATTTCCCTTATCACTCTTGGATTGCAAAGTGGAATTAAAACGGTTATGTAAACTAGATTCTCTCACTCTGACTTCACTTTACAGATCTAACAGAAATAGTGAATTTAAAGAACAAATAACAAGACTTTATTTCAATTACCTTATGCAGAATACATGTTCACAACAGCACTGAACGACTTTCAGTATGACAACGCATCTCCGTGTAACGCAAAATATATCCAGTTCAAGTTCGTTATAAATCCACAATATAACACCATCAATAGCACAAATATCTGACGTTACTCAATACAGCAATATAAATCCACAATCTGTTACGAATCTGTTATAAATCCAATTGATACAATTTTGTTATAATTCCAAAATGCGATCGCAGCTCCTTACTCTTCAACGATTCAAAACTAGACTGACCATTCCTCGAATGATCGTGAGAACACTAAGATTACGGAACATCTCTTTCCATATAAGGAAATGCTACTATGACAACAGGTCTGTTAGCTTGCTACAATGTCAAAATAGCTGTCACATCAAAGACTAATAAACCTAGCGCTAGCCTGTCAATCAAATTACTATGTGGGAAAGTTTGAAAAAGTGTCGGCAAAATGCCGTCAGAAATATAAAACTTGACTGAAAATCACTCTTTTTAAATTACAATATCTCCTAAAGTATGAGATCAAATTCAAAGTTTAATACACCGTTTAAAACCTCAATTCACCCTTAATTTAAGAAATAATTATTATAATTTATGGACAAATACCCTTCTCTATATTTAATGAGAAAGAACATGAGTAAATAAGAACTGAAATCATGTGTGCCAGGCGGCCGGCAATTAAATAAAACCACACGTTTACACTAGTTATTCAAACTTATCTTACTCAAAAACCATTATTCCTTTTTGCATGAAATAAAAATGAATAAATTGTTAAAAGAATGTTCTTTTTAACCATATATAAAACATAATTTGATCTTGATCAGAAAAGCATGAAAATAAAACTTGAAAATAAATAAGAAAAATGCGCTCCCGCTACAGTATAATGCTTTCTAAAGAAGGGGTTAGTACATTTAATATCCGCACGAATATATTATTTCATATGTCCTGCTCCAAAGAGCATCTGGAATATATAAATCAGATATTCCACATAAGGCGTTCTCTTGGACATACTAGTAACCATATCGTATAGGAGTGAACGTGTAGAATAATTGTCTTCAATTCTCCAATTTGTAGTTCAATTGATAGATTGAGTGTAAAAGTTTACAACACTGTACAATGAATTATTGTAATTAGATCCCAGGGACAGTAGGTCTTTGTGACTACAAATAGATCTTTCATTTCCAATCGTAAAGTCTTCCCAATAATATATAATTTATGGATATTTCAAACATATCAGCAAAGATATTACATTACTAAAAACATGGACGTTTTTTGGCCCACCCTGTATCGATCGTCACACTTTTATAAAGGGGAGATTTTTCTTTTGACAAATCAATTTCACATTTTATGGTTGAAGTTTGGAATCTTCTTTTGTGTGTAATAGGAAAAATTGACATCTAAAACCGATCATATATTAGCACACAGCATGGCTTAAAAATGTCCTCCAAATGAAGCAAAGCAGTTTGGATGTATACAGGGAGATTTATATTGGCTGATGTACATGTATCCTTCTGATAATTCACTCTCTCAATGTTGACAGAATTATTGTAAACAGATTATTTTATCTCAAAGACGATATCAATTAAATAGAATTTACAAAACTCCCCATATTTCTAAAAACTGAACTAATCCAACTGACTTGCCTGGATCAATTGTTTTTGTACGGGAAATTTATCGTAACCCTTTAAGATACGAGGGGTGATCCAAAAATTACCAAAAACTTTCCAATAATAAAGACCAACAACATTACTACATGTAATTGTGCATTAATTTCATGGAGAAATAATCTATTTTATGTATTTTTCTGAATAGTTTTTGGTAATTTTTTAATATAGGGACCTAGACACCTGGAACTGTATTCGCACATGACAACTTTCAGTCTTAAATTTTGCTGCTATTTGACTTGTTTTGCTAGTCTTGAACACTATCTTTCTTTGAATTTTGAATGTTAAACCATGTTAGTTTACATCCTTTGTCACCAGGCAACTAATTAATTGTGTTTTAATTTTGATGTCTCAAAGGACAGTAGAAAATGACATCAGGTTTTGCAAAAACAGCCAAGAGTTGCCTTTGTGTAAAAAAGCACAACAGTCAAGAACATCCTGCCAGCAGTATCCAGCACATGGACAATGCACCGTCCCATCACCCTACAGTTGTACAAGATATTCTCGCTATCAATAAACTTAAGCAGCTACCAAACGCACCATGCAGTCCAGATTTGGCCCCTTATGATTTTTCTTTTTCCCCAAGTTGAAAGAGGGGTTGAAAGGAAATGTTTTTACTAATTGTATGAAGTAAAACTGGCAGTCCAGGAGTACTTGTATCACCTAAGCAAGGGTGGTTTCATAAATTTCGCGGGGATCACAATATTGTTAAGATTTTGATCTTTCTTATTTGAAAGTTTCATGTATTTACATTGAAAAATAGCAAAGTTAGCGCGAGTCGTCCAAGACTTTTGGATCACCCCTCGTAGTATGAAAAAATAATTCTGTGTATAAGTGGAAATGAATGTCTGTTGGTAATGAAGTGACGATTTTTTCACATTTGATGTATATAATTATCAATTTTCATTGAAAAAAGAAGTATTCCTCTCCAAAATATAGTGGTAACCAAAATATGATACAATATAACAATACATGAATGGGTTGAAGTCTCGTATTCATGTATCACATGTGTTAAAATCGCTCGAAATTACTTCTGAAGGAGCAATGTCCATAGACCTTCCCCTCCACCACTTCCCCCCTCCCCCAGTTGGCTTTCACCTTTGAGTACCAAGAAAAAATCAAGTCTACGGCATATTCTGAACATCTCTATTATAATCATAGTGTTACTGATCCCCTTGAATAAACTGCATTGAAATACATATAATTATGATATATATAATTGTGATGTCAACTGCAATACATTAACCATTAATTATGTAGTAATGTACTTGCTTCACGGTATATAAGAATCACACTGATCATGACAGAGCCAGCCTTCATACTGACAGAATGACGCTGTTCATTTATATCATCATATCCATTTTCATAAGAGGCGCATTTCAAATCAGAGAAGAATGCAAGAATGATTCTTGGAAAGGCATAAAGGAATTTAATGGAGACGTGAAATCACGCAAAATCCGTGAAACCTCACCGCAGCAAGAAGATAGCAATGAAGATGAAATTGAGAAAAAGATATGTGATCAGAAGATGCGCACTTGTAAGAACAGATGTGGGTTGGCGAAAAAATCAAGCAGTCTCAGTGAATTTTACTGCCAGTGTGACAACAAATGTACTCACTACCAAGACTGTTGTGCTGATTTTGAGAGCGAGTGCAGCATCAACTACAACAACACCAAATATGGTAATTTGACGAGTGGGGAAAGATCTAAATATGGTTGTATCAAAATATCTCCGACAAACATGATGTACATGGTTGAAACATGTTCAAGTGATTACATTGGGACTGTTTTAGAAGAACAATGTACGAGCAGAAATACTGTTCTTGGCCTATTACCAGCGTCTGACAATCAAACAGGTATTTTTACATGAGTATTTATATAATAAATCAAATTCAAGCAAATCAAAACACAGTGTAAAATATAATATAAGATGAATTATAGGTGATTTAATGTAAGTCTTAGAACTGGGGCTAATTCTTCTCTCAAAGTCAATATACAGTACTATTGGTTAATATAATCTACAATTCGTTGAGTTCTGGGCTTAAATCATTTATTATATAAATATACCATAAAGATGAAACATTTTATAACGATTTTCCTCCTAATGATGCATTGTATATTTAAATATGATATAAATCCCCTAATCAAATATCTTCATGGAAATATTTTCATGGAAATTATTTTGACAATCATTCAAAATTACTATATATATATTATATGCTACATGACAAAAATTGGTAAAATCTATTTCAAATGTTATTCCAGGAATTCAGTACAGAAACATATTTTGCGCACGATGCAACAATGTCAAGTTCCCTGTACTGTGGGAGACAAAGCACAGCTGTTTTCGAGAGATATTTGACGAGACTGATTTCCACAGTCCAGGACCAAATACATTATGGAGGGTAATGAATTCATCTTATTGTTCCGTTGGGTATATCCCTCCTTTGAAGAACAACCTACAGCTGAGACCATGCATACCAACTATCTATACATGTCCGCAGGGAGCAGAGCATTCACTCGCCAAACGGTGTGCGAACTCTAACTTAGACCCTTTTTCTACATATAAACAGCAAAACTATGCCTACCATAGCTGGGCTTGCCTCATATGTTCTGAAACTGATCGGCCACGACCTACATGCACCATACGTTTGAGGCAGATAGGTCGTCAAGGGGGCTCCGACTTATCCATGTTTTCGTTCAAAATAATCGTGGATGTGACATCAGAAACTGGAATAACATTGAGGTCTCAAGCTGGACACGGCATCGGTGGATTGAATGTTGAGGTAGCTTGTAGGTCTGATGATAGTGACTGCAAAGCTTTAGCTTGCCCAAAAGCTTATGAAAAAGTTGGAAATGAATGTAAATTGATAAGTATCATCGTTCCAGTGCAAATCGCTTTTAACTTCTCAATGAGGCATGGTCAATGGTCTGTATATCAAATCATGGAGACATATATCAAAGATATTTTTGATCCAATTGGTTTCATTTTGAAATTTGATTATAAGGGTCTTGGAAAAATATTTTCCTTCAGATTCAATACATCGTTTCCTGAGAATTCTACATTCCCTGACATATCCACCAAAATGGCCTCAGACTCAAAAGTCATTAAAGGGAATGTGGAAATCTCCTTCGCACAACTTGAGGATTTTAAAACGACGTTTTATATGACATTTGTGAAGGACAATGACACTAATATCATAGAAAACGTTATTCACCTCGAGGAAAACGCTACTAATGTTGGCAAAAATGTGGCAAGCTGTGGGAGTCACACAAGTTACAGAATGGTATGGTTGCTTTACATATTTTTGTATTTGTACAGCCATCTTTTTACTGAATGGCTTATTTGGTAAAACACCAAATACATGTAAATATTATGTCTTCATAAGAAGGCGGTAAATTTCAAACAAGCGAAATACAGTTTTTAACTATATGTTTTCTGTATATATCTAAATACTTATGTGTAGCATATAGGTATTTCCATCTGATTTTTCATCTTGAAGGAAACAACAACACTACTATACCTAACACATAGAAATGCATATGATACTTTGTTTGTCTAATTGTTTTGTTTAGTATATTTTTGAAAGTGCCTTGGTAACATCTAACATTCAACCGATAAACCATTAATTAAGGAACAATGCAGTTCTTGTCCATAACTTGACTTATTTAAATTAAGTTAAGAAAGTTAAGCCAAATGTTGCCCTGATAGCTCAGAAAAAATAAAAAATTTCGAATTTTCTCTCTACACTCCTTTAATGTATATTATTATTATAAAAAGTTAATTCTGTCCAAACCTCCAACCAACTCATATTGTTGCTACAAATAATTAGCACGATTGTAACCAATTTTAATCAATGGGAGTAAGGGTCATTCAGAGCATGGTTGCAGTTTGCACACTTCGTTCATCATACATGAATGTCTGAATATTATACAAATTGTCACACCCAGTGCGGGCTTTGCATTGACTCTGGAATTGTGTTACATATTGGGTATATTATGTTATGCTATAGATATATTGCATCTTATAATGTTTATATAATAATCTTTTATGATATCTATATCACATCCTGCCCATCTTCTTTTAAGACATCAACATTATACGCCACTCTCTTATTTTTCAGCACTGCATTGTTTTTTATCACAACCATATCTAAAAATGTATAAAAGCCAAATTAGATAGTCGTTCACTTACAAATGGTTGATCTATGCCTGTGTACTATAGCATGGAAGCAATGATTTAAAGAATGTTCAGCTTTAGGCCATATGAACTTCTTAATATCTCAGTTTTAAAAAATTGGGATTTTTTGTTTTATAGTTAAAAGGGCTAAATGAATGATACCCAGTTGTGGTTGCGTAATTACAGCATAATATATGCAAATATACACAAAAGCTTTCGATGATTTTGATAATTTTATTATCATACTCTTGTGATAAAGGAAATAGGTGATGAATGTTGTAGTATACCATACTTACATGTGCCAACTTTGTTACATATTTTACTTCCAGATTCTGGGCATATATGGCAGTGCACCTCGGCCAAAGGCTGCACAGTTTCAACCTCACCAGATTCAGCCTACAATTAAAGTATAAGACAAGTATTTTTAAATCTCAAAACTATTGTCTTCTTTTCACAACCTTTATTTTATTTTTAGGTTGGGAAAAGAAGAAAATAGTTTTGTGATTTAATATTCCAACCTGAAGAACATGTTTAAGAAAAAGTATTTTTAAGTTGTAATAATCGTAAAAAAACATTTCTCTGAAAGTTATATACTTATAGACCAATGTTACATGTCCATAAGGACTCTAAAGTACAAAGTATAAAACAACAGTTACCTTAAAATTTATTCCGATTTCCAGCTCCCCATCTTTACTCAACACAAACCATCTAAAATGAACACTAGGTTAGTATGAAGGTTGGCAACAATATTGTGATGTCTTCGTGCATGTTATTATACACTCGAAATAACCACAATTTGTGAGTGATTGCATACGATGGACTTGGAAACACAATTAGTGCTCATTGAAGTAATTCAAATTAGAAAAAAATTGAAAATGAACCAATCGAATTGCTAGACGCATGCGTAGTGAGGTTGAAGCTATCAAGGACATATTTTCTTTTACATCCTGGAGACAGAAAGAAAAAAGAACTTTCTACAATCCCTGCTTGAAACGTTGGGTGTATATGCTTGGTAACTAGTCCACCTACATGATGGAGAATCCTATTGTGTCAACCTCGACAGCAATGCTGATTTCTTGGCCTCTCCCGATTTCCACTTTGGTGTATTCAGAGTTTAGTTCATAATCGGCAAATTTGGGAGCCATGTAATACGATTTGGGAATCTTACTTGGATAGTTTATCTAAAATACAATATGAAAGAATTGATTGACGTAGTACAATGATAAGGATTGAAAGATGAAATGAACTGATTAAATCACATTTGTATCGCCCTCGATTTGTAAGTGATCAATAAACACAGTGACTGTACCAAATTAAGCGTGACAGTTGAACGCCCGGGTAAGGTACAACAACACGAGGGTGATGACATTTTAGCACCATATCTAACTATGAAATTCACTGTCTAGGATATTGTTACAGATATTTACATATAAAAATATCTAGAAACTAGATCAGATCTTTCTGAAACGATGAAACATCAGTTTACTCAAATCCATCACCCTCGTGCTGTACCAAACCCTGCACGTCCAACTGTCACGCTTAATTTTGTACAGTCCCTGTGATAAATAAGTCTAGAATCTATGTAATATTGGTTAATGTGTTCTGTTATAATCTTATGAGATTTCTTAATCACCTAATACTTATATTCTTAAATGCACATAATGTCCGATTGTTTGTGATTCTCATTTCCGATTCGCTTTTTTAAAAACCATTTATCAAAAAATCCTTCATATACCTTGCTGCTAAACTTCGGGTCGCCGTCTTCATCTACCAACGTTCCCCCATAGTAACCAATCAGTTGGTCTTCATCTACGAATTTTTGCAAATCTTTTGGATCTAAACAACAAACAGCCACATATATTAAACGATTGTTGAAATCGATTCTGAAAAATATTCAAGAACCAACTAAATTAATCACCAGTATACAGATAATGGAACTTCACTTGCGCCATGACTTTACTTGCGCCATGACTTTACTTGCGCCATGACTTTACTTGCGCCATGACATCACAATGACAATGAGGCAAAAATTGAGCAATATTTTTTATACAAATAACTGGGTGTCCCAAACTGTGGAATAAATCATGAAGCGAATTGTCTACATACATGTACTATGATATAATACCTTGTGCTCTGGGACGGTTATGAAAATAAAAACTACATACCTTTCACGAGTTCTATTTTAGATAACGTATTTTTAGGAGCAATAGCCTTGAATAACTTAAATAGTATGTTCAGCACTCTTGAATCTAGAACAACATAAAAGAATTACCAAGGTTTTGAAAGTATACAGACAAACATATCTCCCTAACAGCAATATGATATTATGCAAGGTAATTGAACACTAAATTTTTAATGCATGATAAAACAAATTACACTTTTTTCTTTATGCAAATCAGCCCATTTGCATAAATCGTGACATAATATGAGGTGTTTTTAATGAAGACTTTGTCAAAAGCTACCTTTACACATAATTTATCTGATGATTAGTTTGCAAAACATTCTTCTACAATTTTTAATTCAAAGGTAAATGGTTTTTTAAAACTTTGCAGTCATGGCATCTTTATTTCTTATGAATATTGAGTATTCTATCACTTTTCAATTTGATAATTATAACAAAATACATTACTGGTTATCACAATCGCTTTGTTTATAAATTCAGGGAAGTAGTTTGGTAAAATGCCATCACTATTGTTCATTTGAGACTGCAGATCTAAACCTGAAACATATAAACATTACTATAGTTGGGAGCTGATTGTTGATATTCTAATCATGTTTAAAAAATAAACTAAGACATTTATTTTAGTGACCTCATTAAAATGCATCTTTTCTGACATAATATTACATTGTAAAGTCTAGTTTCTTTTTGATGGTTATGAGAAAGATGATCAAGTTGTTACCATGTACAAAATTGCCAGTATATTTGTATATACGTTTTGTGGTATATTGGTCATTTTGTAAAGGGTAACATTTAGTCACATACCCAACAACCTGGAAATGTATCCATAGTTGATTTAAAATGTGTTGTGAATCAAAGCAAATGATATGAAAATATGTGAAAATATATATTTACTTTGTTTAGACAACGCATCAGTTCCGATATTCCTGTTATCCACGATAAAAGTTCCGCCTTTGTATGGCTGCAAAAATAATTGGAGAGATTCATCACCTTCAAAATTGCGATATAAACCAAAACAACCCAATAAGGTGTGTATAAGGTGTGTATTAAACTTTCCTGTTATCTCAAAATCTGCTTGGAACTGTACCATTGGATTTGTGGGGAAATTCCTCAAAGAGAAAATTCTAGGGATTGAGGGATTAGTTCAGTTTACACAATTTGTGAAATTATTGGCATACATGAAACATATGTAACCCTAGAAGCCCTAAGGGAAAAAAGTCACACAAACACCTAAGGGGGGGTCAAAAGGTCATCCCTTGTAAATCTTTTATTAGTAGAGCTAGGATGTCCAAACTTTTTTGCGGAAGGTTGGGATATATAGGCCAGGGTCTACTTTTCTTATGACAGATGTACACTTACAGTTTGCTTTTCTTGTTAGGTTTCCTTAAAGTTTTTAGTCACCCTTCGCTTTTGGCATTTGTGCTTATATATTGAACAAAATACTCAATTGGCCGGGCGCCAGTGCTGAAAATCGGAACATATGTGACCACGGCATAAAAGGCGTAAAAACATAGAATTACTGTATCGATTTACAGTAACCAAGTCGGTGTTGGGACTTGGTTGTCAAAGTCGGTAAATTTGAAACAACCCTATTAGACCACAAACTTACAGTGAGTAATCAAGTAATAACACAACCTCTACTTAGGATTAAATTAGATTTTGGAGGGGGTTCTATGTGTGACAATTTCTGTAAGTTTGTGATCTGTTATGGCCTTGGACTATTTATTTTGGCAGAAATAGAAATATCACCCAAATTAAATTGTGAATATTCAAAAGAGGACATTTAAATCTACGAGATGTAAAAATATCAAATTGCCCGACATCGGCGTAACGTGCAGTAAAGAAAGATGTTCATCAGTGTACTGCGCTAATAGTTTCTTTATGAAAAATATAAAAATATCACCACAGTTAAAATATGAATATGAATATTCAAAAGAAGACACAATTTGTAAAAATATCAAAATTGTCCAAAGCAGGCGCAACGTGTAGTAGACCTGAGTCTCAGAGTAGACTAATGACTAATGATTTTTTGCAGAAAATATTCGAGTCCCCTCCTGTCAAATCCTGGCTCGGCTGCTGATTCCGCCGCTGATTCCTATACGATGACCAAAACAAATATCACATATATATTACACTTTATCCTACACTTAGTGTACTAAATGTATAATAACATGAAAAAATAAATTTGATATTTATTGGCAAAATGAATATCCGGAGGATATCGTAACGATATACTCCGGGCGGAGGATATCGTGACGATATACTCCGGAAAATCCAATATGCGGAGGATATTGTGACGATATACTCCGCTTGTTGATTTCCCGCCAAATTGACTCTATTTGGCATGAAATTCATTTTACATTGATATTATACATTCAGTACACTCTTTGTAAGTGTAGGATAATAAGAACATCCTATGATTTTTTTCAGAATATCATTTTAATCTACTCGGTGATATTGATATATGCACTCGTTCGCTTCGCTCTCTCGTGCAGATATCAATATCACCTCGTAGATAAAAATGATATTCCTCAAAATCATAGGATATCCTATAAATATCCATATATAAATCGTGAGTTGATGGCATATGATATTGAAAAACCTAGTCTTAGTACTTACTTTTGAGATCGCCCTCACTGCAGCGTCGGCCTTTTCTACCATGTGACAATTCAGCCAAATCAGGTCTTTTATTTGACAACATTGAAGTATTCCTTTAGAAATACAAAATACCAGATATATCTCATTATGTGTGAGTAAATGTTATGTCCGCCATTTGTGACAACGGTATCTGACTTTACCGTAATCAGGCTATTCCGGTGTGCAAATGATCATTCCACGTTTTCACCAAATAATCCATAATCCAGTAACTGCGTTAAATATTTTAGCATGCATTTCAATAGGACGGTATAGTGATTTATCAATATATGGGCTTATATAATTAAGAATTCAATCTCTCCTTACAGTTTTTTACTAACATGTACAGGGTGTCCCGAAATTATGCCCCCCCCCCCCCCCTAGGCAGACATATTCCAATGTCCTAGTATGTGTTATATATCATTTAAAAGCTTATCCAAAGTTACATTGATTTGCCAAGTATCATGGTTAAACTCCCAAATGGGAAAAAGTTACAGTCATTTTAAAAGTTAGTGTTTTGTCAAAATAAAGATCAATTTTAGACCACATTACTAGTCAATGTGCCCCCTTGGCCATGTTAAGAGCAGCAATTATTTTCAGATATGACCTTAAAAGCCCTTCAAATAGGGGAGTGGAATTTTATTACCCTCTTAAAACCTGTTAAGGGACTTAAGAAGAGTTTCCTTAGAGTTTCTACCCTCACCGTTCTCTTTTTCCAACTCAATATCCATCCGACCCGAAAAGAATTGCTGCTGTTAAGATGGCCCAGGAGGACACATTGACTAGTGATTTGGTGTAAGATTGAACTTAATTTTGACCAAACACTAAATTTTGAAATGTGTGTAATTTTTTCACATTTGAGAGTTGAACCATGATACTTGGCGAATCAATGTAACTTTGGATAAGCTTTAAAATGATATATGACACATACTATGGCGACACTGGTAAATGTCTGCCTAGGGGGGGGGGGGCATACTTTCGAGACACCCTGTATAGTAATTAAAACAATTACTACTTAACATGTATTGTTTTTGGATTGTGCTGTCACAATGACTGAATTGTACTGGCACAATCATGTCAACACTACCAAGAGGTACATTTATTTATCTTTGTATACTGCATAAATTGGTCTGAGAGATAAGAAATAATATGTATATTAGTTAAAGTGTATAGATTTAAATATTTCTCCATAATTCAGAATATCATGATTTTAATCTACTCGTTGATATTGATATATGCCCTCGTTCGCTTTGCTCTCTCGTGCAGATATCAATATCACCTTGTAGATAAAAATGATATTCCTCAAAATCATCAATTCTCCATACAAAGAAAGATATGTACTGGTTGTGTTGTAGTGATTGTGCAAGCACAACCCAGTATATTTTCACAGCAAAATACAAAAATGATTACTGACCTTGAAAATGCCCCTTAGAGGAATCCACATACCTTTGAGATCTAGACCATCGTTGTTGCTATATATTACTGGTGTCCCGTCTTTAGCTTTTCCAATAGGAGTCAAATTCGACATAAATTTGGCAAATTCGGGTATCTCACGATTTTTACGATTTTCAATGTCGATTTCGTCTCGCCATTTTAAGCACTGAAAATGCGTTTTATACCAAGTAAATACAATGGAGATACAAGAAAATACAATGGAGATACAAGTAAATACAATGGAGATACAAGTAAGTGATGATGGCACAGTCGTATTCACATCTACAGGATGGGCCAAAAAACAAGTTTAAAGATGAATGATTCATATGCTATATGTTATACCATGCCATGTACTATATATCATTTCCTAACAAAATGACACCATCCAATTGAAAAACCTTTGTTTTCTTATGGAGTTAGAGACTAAAATTGACACAAGGGGTGCCTTGGGCGACCAAAGATCAAGAAATGAAAATTCCCAAAGTTCCCTCCATATTGCAGTCATAGCTGCACTTGATATGCTTGACTAAATCACAATAAATTTATTTAAAAGTAATACTTGTATCTCTTTTGAAGGTGCCAAAGTTCAAATTTCCCTCCATTTTCCACAATTCGGAAATCCGCAGTGAATAATTTTTTGGTCGCTCACGACACCCCTCGTGTCAATTTTAGCCTCTAACTCAACAAGAAAAAACGGCTTTTCAATCAGATGGTATCATATTGTTACATTTAAAATGATATACAATACATGTCACGGTTTAACGTAATATCGTACGATATTCATCCGTAAACTTCGGTATTGGGTTTTTTGGCCAATCATGTATATAAACCCTCAAAAGCAAGTGTGAAGTTCACAATGGAAGAATTGATACTGCACATAGAGGCCTTTGAAAAATTCTGATATTTTTATATTTTCTTAAAAGTATAAGCTTGCTCACCTGTCGTAGCATTGTTTCAGCCTTTATGATGTCAAAATCACGAGCTAAAATCAATATTAAAACTAGTGTAGTGTACAGGTAAAATAACTAAGTCACGTGGCAAATATCTAATTACGCAAATTACGCACAATTTAACATTATTTGAAGTTGTAACAGTCCAAAATACCAAGTTATTGAATTCATTGTTTCGTTCAGTGTACTAAAAATGACTATTAAAGTGATAACATAAACCACGGTGACCAAGTTTTGACAGTGGGGATTGTCCCGGGCGTGTTTTTTAAACGATTTGGAAGTTTTTTGAAAACTTGAGAGGTAGGTTGATAAAATTGCTGTCACTTGACCTTATGTAAATTTAAGTGATCTATATTGATTAACATACTCACAGGCTGGTATCGAAATATTTGTCCGCTGTGACGGAGCATGCTATTTTTCATAAAAACACTAAGAATTCTTCACGATTTATTTTTTAACTCATATGTTTCGTTATACCATACAAAATTACTTACTCCATGCAATGGATATATCATTTGCGGGTAACTTTCACTTCTGTTTGAAGTCCAATTACGCTGGGAAGAAAAGCTATTGAAAATGGCGCCGGAGTATCATACTTCAAAATGCACCATTTCTTGTTTAACTTTCTAATGACATGATATAGTGACACGATAATATTTACACATGGTTTCAGCATAACTATGAAGGTATAAATGAGATGTTGATGTATTTGGTCTTTTTAATTCTTTTATAAAAAATAATGTTTAATTTTTTTGTCCGCTGTGACGGAGCAGTTGCAAATATGAACTGTGAAAATGCTCCGTCACAGCGGACAAAAAATATTAATATTATTTTTTATTAAAAAAATGAAAAAGACCCAATTTGCATTAATATCTCATTAATACATTCAGAGTTATGCTTAAATCATATGTTAATATTATCGTGTCACTATATCATGCCATTAAAAAGTTAAAAAAGAAATGGTACATTTTAGAGTTTGATACTCTCTCGCCGTTTTTAATAGATTTTACTCCTAGCGTTATTGGACTTCAAACAGAAGTGAAGGTTACACGCAAATGATATACTAGTATCCATTGCATGGAGTAAGTAATTATCTTTGATATAACGAAACATATGAGTTAAAAAATGAATCGTGAAGCATTCTTAAGTGTTTTTATGAAAAATAGCATGCTCCGTCACAGCGGACAAATCTTTCGATACCAGCCTGTGATACTATATATCCTAACTTCAGGTATTTATTTGCACGAATCTTATGCTATAGCCTTGTTAAATCTGAAAATGGGCGATTCTGGCAGTGTTACACATATTTTTGCCTGAAAATCACTAGCGTGCCTTGAATTTCATGAATACATCGATTCATAAGGAAAGTACTCACAATATGTGCGAAAACCACAAATTAAAATAGTTTAAACAAGTAGCAATTGACCGAATAACTTTTTTGGATTAAATTATTTGGAAGTGTTCAAAAATATCCCTTCTGCATCGTTAAGTCCACTTTCTACATTTACGGTCATTTATGGCAATTTTAAGACAAAGATAGTTAAAATATAAACACGATCTTTAGAGTAGTGAATATTATTCCAAGTTGTTGACTGGATAGTCTGTTTGAACTTAATTAAATAACAATAATGCAAATTTAGTACATATTTTCAGCATTTTTGGTATACAATTGCGAGTACGATGAAGTATGATGGAATGATCACCAAAATAGATACGTGGGTATGAAGAACATCTTAGGTAGTAGTCAAGTAATGTTAGTTTGTAAAATATAGAATATTCTTACCCTTTTGCTATATTGTAACGAATGTCGTATTCCTGTTCTTACAAAACACGTCTAAATTGTTTGAAAAAACACGTCCGGAACAATTTCCATTGTGAAGACTTGAGCACCGTGATAAACGGAATGCTACAACTTTAAATTTAAAATTCGGGGTTATATACTTGAAGATATCGTTCAGTGTAATTTATTTAGATAACTTAATGGGTTCTGTATTACGTACCTCTGAGGAATCTAAGCAAATATTCATCAATTATACCCGGTGTAAAAGGATAGGAGGTCCTATCAAATTATGGTCCTACTCTCCATTGATTTATATGGTGACCTAAATACAACTCTTTCCCTCATTATCTTATACACAATCAGGGCCGTTAAGAAAGGAGACCATAATCCCTGGGGATCATCATTTCTTTTCACACCTGTTTAATGCACTTGATGATTTCGTCGAGTGTAATCTAGATGACTATGAATTTGTTATTGGTAGTGTACCTCCGAGGAATCTAAGCAAATAGTCATCAATTATACCCGGTTATTGACTTGATGATTTCGTTCAGTGTAATCTAGATAACTCAATGGGTTCCAACGTACCTCTGAGGAACCTGAGCAAATATTCATCATCGAGGAGTGGATTTGACGAGACATCTGACAAATTTTCCCTCATCTGAAAGATCATTTGAAAAAAAATTCACTACGATAGCCCTAGTATTTTTATAGAATCGGGTGAGTATTTGTACACATTTCCCTATTTCATCATCGTATACATCGCTCATTACAGATCGAAATATAATACATAGGTACCTTGAAATAATCCACGATTCATTTTTGGCCCAACTTCTTCAACAATAAATACGATTATATTTAAGAAATATAGAACAAAAAGAAGTTATTACATCGACAGGGCTAAGAAGAAATTTTTACCGGGTGGAATATTGATACAGTTTGTGGAAGGCGAGAATACAGTCAAGTTCGAATCCATAATATTACCACCTTGCAGGGCCTGTTCTAGGGGTTTTAGTGCTAGTTGAGAAGGCATTTAAATTGCTATATTGACGTGAGCAATATTGTGTCGGGCGTTAATGACTTTAGTCGGGCAATAATGACATCATCCGCCCGGCTATGTTTCCCGGGAAAAGTGATTTCGTTCAGTGCGTAAGATTTTCTATTTCAAATTTGCTATTTCAGCCCTGGGCATTAACGGTGGTAACGTCATTTCTGCGCGCAAATAGTAAAATATTGGACCTTGGTCCAATATTTCACTAAATTGCCTTTTGAAATGACGTTATTGTACTATTATAACCACCTTGTGGAGCCTGTCCTAGGGGTATTAGTGCTTGTTTAGAAGGCATTTATTTTGCTATATCGGCCTGAGCAATATGAGACGTCATAGTTGCGGGCCAATAATGCATTAACGCCCGGCAATTTTCCCCGGGAAATTAGATATCGTTTAGTGCGTAATATTTTCTTGCTATTTCAGCCCTGGGCATTGACGGTGGTAATAATACTAATGACGTCATTTATGCGGGCAATATTAAGCAAATATTTCATTCTATAGAGGGCAATACCTGTTCATCTTTCAATAAATTGTGCAGTATGTATTGACCGCAGCCCGTAGAGCGAGGGAAATACATGCTGCAAAAATCATTGAAAGTGCAAGAGGTATTGCCCGAACATAGAATGAAATATTTGTTTCATTATATATTGGGCCTTCGGCCCACGGTCCAGTATTTCACTATATTGCCCTTCGAAATGACGTTATTGTACTATTATTTAATTAATTTTAATGTGGCTGTTTTTGAACGAACGACTTGCAAAAAAAGACTTTCAAATGGTATATTTCAGAAAAGTACCAATTAAATGTATACATATAGCGGACAGAATTGAATTCTCAGTAACATTTGTTCTACGGCGGGTGTATGGCGGCTGTCTACGCGCAGCTTCACAGAATCAATACAGAAAATCTAAATCGTATTGCATATCTTTAAATTTCACGCTCTTTTCTCTCAAATTTAGGAAGCTTCAGCCACCATGGTTGCGATAGATCAAATGTTACTGAGGCATTGATTTTATGACCTATAATGTCAAAAAGTACTTACAATAGCCAACGCATTTACTTGTTCATCACTCAAGTCGTCGCTAAAGCCACTCATCGTATTTTTAGATATTGAAACGGATTCTTTGTAACCCACTGTGTGTATACTTAGTAACTAAAACACGTTTGTGTTAAAAAAACTAAATATATATGTTATTAGCAACATTTTAATAATATTTTATATCTACGGGTGCAATTATTAAAGCAAATAATTAACATCCCATATATATGCATTTCTCGTATTGGAAATTAAAAAAAGTGATGGGCTATGAAAACAATATTTAGCAATTCTTCAGTTATATAGGACGAGGCAAAAAAGGTGACCCAAACAAACGTATCTTAATAACTCGGTCATTCAGCATTCTTCAATTAAGCCTTTATCCTAATAAGTTTCATTAGTCTACCATCAATGGTCACGATTTTTTTGGCTATTTATAAAACATGCTCCTAATGCCAAAATGGGCAACAATCACCGGACATAAAACACCCCAGATTTTTATCTGTTTGGCTAATGTCCACACTAACAACCTCTGACACATTGAAACATGCGATAAGAAGGAACGTACTGAGAGCTAAATACACACGTTGTCTGTGCTTGTGTAGTGAACAACTGCCGATTACGTCTAAGTTAGCTTTCATACACGATACCAGTATTTTACAGCTTGTTTTGGAAAATGGCCATAAGATCACCACTACGTAGAATGAAATAACAATGAAAAAGGTTTCATTTTGCAAAATATGGTGTAAACCCATGTTGATTGACTGAGTTATTAACTTTTTGGGGTTACCTTTTTTGGCTCACCCTGTAGATTGGATGGCATATGCCAAATCATCCACGTGTATCTCTGCTGGATATTTACAGTATTTCAGTAAGGGCGTAAGGGCGTTGCGGCCCTTATTGGCCCTGACTGTGTATAAATAATAAGGAAAAGAATTGTACTTAGGTCACCATATAAATCAATAGAGAGTAGGACCAAAATTTGATAGGACCACCTACCCTTTTACACCTGTCCTAACTTCGAGAAATATCATGTTTTCTGTCTTTAAACTATGTTGGTGTTTAGGACGGGTGTTATGATACGTTGTGGCGTCCATTTGTGAGTTTCTGTGTTACCGGGGAATACTTTCATATTATTTATTATAAACAACAAAGTAATTGCTTTCCAATTTCAAACATATTTTACCAAAAATGTACATTTTACTCGTTTGACAAGTCAATCTCTCTGAAACTGTCTGAAATATGGACAGGGTCCCCTACTGTATAATGTCACCATTTCCCCGTAAAATCATAATTAAGAGGGAGTTGTTGTCCTTGCTACTGGTTTTGCTTTGAGATAGTTCTTGTACTCCGTTATAATCACATAAAAATGTAAAAACAAGATACTGTAATACTATTGTGGACAGAATTACAAACCCTTTACTGACATAATTAGCCATAATTGACATAGCTGACATTTTGATAGGGAGTTTAAGCTAGTATGTGAAATCGAAATGCAAACCTATACGTATGACCAATCGACCATACAAATGCATCGCTTAGATATTTACCGTTAACGTTTAGGTTGTGCAAAACAATGGAGAGGTTAAGCTACCGTATAAAATCCAAAACGCAACTTAAACGTATTAATCGCCCCTATACAAATACATGTAGAGTTCACACATAAATAGCCGTTCAGCTCTAGTGTTTGTTTAGACTACACCATAGCTTGTAATGATTACATAGTATGCCATTGATGAAGTTCATTAGCTGGTTTTCTAATACATATTTTAAACGAGCTCATTTCGTAAGATTATTGGAGTTAAATCATGCGTAACATACATCATCTTCTTCAGAAAGAATTATACTCTGCATCGAAATCAAAATTGCAAGGATAGTATTCAACAGACATGAGTATAATGATTCCCGTTGATAGCAACGTGAAATTTAAAATCTCCCGTTCTAAACACGCAACTTTGAAGTTGAACGGGTATCTGAAGTAGACTAAAGCGATACAATCCTATGTTGATTCAATGTACTTTGCGTTTACGTATACGTTTTGAAAAACCGTATTTGCTTAACCTCTCCATTACTTGCTTAAACTCCCTAATGACGTATCATTTGCGTTATGCGCCAAAAGGTAACATGAAGTTGAATTGTCGAATCATCGACAGCTTCTAGATCAGTTACATATTGACTTGAATCATATTGCTATTAGCCTGTAAAATTTTAAAAGGTGTCCAAGACTCTATACTCCCGCCGACAATCTACGATAAAATAACACTCAGTTTAAGACGTATCTTTTTTTATCCCATACTTGGAGGTGTTACGGGTACATAAAGCCGGTTTGTAAAAAGTTATATTTTCAACAGCGGGCAGATATAGCTTTACGTCCCGCTCCGAGCGGGCAGATATAGTATATCTGCCCGCTACGTCATAATCGCTGTTCCCGTATTGGTTCTTTTTTGTAACGTTCGCATACTGTAAACGACAATGGAGAAAAACGCAGACAATCGCGATCTTTTTGATGCATTAACGAAGGGAAGGAGCAGTATGTCCCGTTAATTATCAAAGATTTGAACAGGAAAACCCGGCTACGGACAAGAATACAAAACTGGACATGAATATTTTAAAATAATTCCACGGATGGTTGCAAAGTTTCCGAACTTTGGCCAATAGGATAGTTTCTAAATAGCAGAAAAATCAATGAAATCTCGTGCTGCCATCTTTTATTCAGCTTTTAACTCGGGCTAGAGCTCCATTCATTTACATGCTAAAATCTTGGAAAAGTGGCTTAATTTCATGATTTATCAAAGTGTGTTTGTTGAATCTGTATAAAACTTGAATGATATACCACATGATGACCCTGTTTATGTACATGATGTGATTAAACATGCAAATGTTGATTGACATACAAATAATCCACAGATTTAAAGAATTTTAGCATTGCATCTATGGACATTTGGCCCAAGTTTTTTTAAATTGTTATAGAAAATTATTCAAATTACATAACTGTGTAAATCAAAGCTATTAAAGGAGAAAACATTTCACTGAATTCAAATATGCCATTTAAAAGAAGGTAATGTAAGTCATTAGAGGTCTAATATGCAAGTCTCTTAAAATCTCACGAAAAACGAGATTTAGCGAGATTTCAAAAGCTATATGGAAACTATACTATTGAACAATGTGATAAGTATGGGATAAACAGATCATCCTATAGTCGGTTCAGTATGAATTTTCTCCCTGAATAAACACGGGGTATTGGCTGATTTACATAACAAGCTAATATATTTTATTTATTTTAGCAACCCGTATACTTTCAACACTAAATGAGCTTGAATAAAAATAATTAATTTGTCTGTGTGATATTGATCCCACAAACCAATTTTATCAATAATATATGTGCATTCATATTTGCTTTTTTATAATTTATAAATACGATCTATTCAATCTTTTGAAAGACAATTCCATTATACACAATAATGATTTCATCCCTCTGTATCCCTTAGTTTCAATAAAATATTTATTCCAAAAGCAGATATGAGTCCCGGGATATGAGTACAGTCGTTAAAGTATTCATTATGCCTCAATGTTTTCACATATTCGACGCAACAAGAATTTCAAACAAACAGATGGGTTGAGCATTAAGGCATTGTGTGTTAAACAATGAAGATGCTAGATATAGTAATTTCTTTAACTGCATGGATAATAGTTTTCCACAATAAACTTCAATTTTCAGAAGGAACATGTAATTCGAACAACAATGGAGTTTACTTTACGCAACACTTTCACTACCCAAACATCGGTAAACTCTACAGATCACCAAAATCAAGAATCAAAACATCAGTGATGAATAGGGCACGATTTGATATGACACTTGCTACTCACCAATGTTTCTCGAGTTGCCAAGAACAAACTCGGCCAAAGTGTGTCGCCGTGAATTTCAATACTGAGAATGCAACTTGTGAACTTCTTTCCACACAGCCCGCCTATACATCTGATCAGAACATCGTAATTGATGAGAAATGGGTATTGTATACGGAGAAAAAAATAGGTGAACTCATGAGAAATTAATGTTATTCGGGATTTGGAATATTCAAAGAAAGTGTTGATATTATGGGAAAGAACTGGTACTGAAGGAAGGGGGTAATATCATTGGATTCGGGCAATATTATTTGAATGAGATAATATCTTTGAAATTAAGATTAGTGAATAAGTTTCCATATTTCTTGGACTACTATATGTTGTTATATCATTCATCACTAGTCGATTTAATGTCTTAATTCATTTTTTCCTTTTAATGAATCTGGTTCATAATCTATCATTTTAGCGGCATTACCCTTGCAGCTACAAAAGGACTGCAGTAATTACTCAAGCTATACAGGGAACACAACAATCCTTACAACTGATGGAAAAACATTTGAAGCTTACTGCGATGGCGGTTGGCTGTATCTCTCAAGGCGTTTTGACGGGAGTGAAGACTTCTTCAGAACATATACTGAATACCAGTCAGGTTTTGGTGATCGAAATGGCGAATATTTTCTTGGACTTGATAATCTGGTGAGTGTTTTGAATCAAGGTGGATACACCCTGCGTGTTGATTTAAAGATGTGGCCACAGGAAAGTACTGAAGCTTATGCCGAGTATACAACCTTCCAAGTGGCTGATGCGAGTGATGGCTATCGTATTAATATTGGTGGATATAGTGGCACTGCCGGAGATTCCCTGAGTGATCACAATGGCATGAAGTTCACCACAAAAGATAATGATCAAGACAATTACGGTGCAAACTGTGCACAAGTATTCAAAGGGGCATTTTGGTATAAAGGATGCCACTCGGCAAATCTGTTTGGCCTTTACAATCAGGGGTCTGCGTGCCCATTGGTCGCAACTTGTATCACATGGTTGCGATGGCCTGAGACGATAGGGAATCCAGATAATTATCTCTACTCATTTGAGGAATCGGCTATGAAGCTCTACAGACAAGACCTCTTGCCATAAGTATAATATGGTTGCTATGACCCAACACGATAGGGATTAAGGAATCGGTTATGAAGCTCTACAGAAAAGACCTCTTGCAATAAGTGTAATATGGTTGCTATGACCCAACACGATAGGGATTAAGGAAACGGTTA